CATAATTATTTATAAACTAAAGTGAATGAAATAAAATAATACAAGGATATATAATATGATATTTCTTTTAACCGAATTATGATAAGTTTAATTGATATTTTTATGTTTGTTAATATTTCTTTCTCAGTGTTTCTGTCCGCTTTTTGGGGGACAATGGTTGCTGCATTTGTTTGGCTGGGCCAAAAATTTGAAACAATTGAGTCGCGAATTAGCATTAAGTCAATCACTTGTCTAGCAATGAAATATCTAGCCAACGCAGAGCACGTAGGAAGCCCAAAGATAAAAAACAAAAAAAAAAAAAAAAAAACGAACCAAAAAAAAAAAGCTGGCAGATTTATGTTCGTCTGAGGCAGGTTCTCTGTTTCGAAAGTTATTGCCATTCGTTACTTTCACAGTTTCTTAATAATTTTAACGATTGCTGATGATTGCTTGTCGCAAACATTTGGGGGTGTTTGGAAAACTCAAGAAAATCTATCTCCAATATGCAGACTCCTGAGTTTCATTCATAAGTTGTGTATTTTAAAATTACTAACATCATATGATGTTCCATTTTAAAGAAATTATAGATTTTTATCCCCTTTAATTTCTGTCCCAGAAATACCATCAAGGACCCTAACATTATTAATTTACTTGATGGAGGATTGTATACATGACCTATATCCACATCATTTTTGGGGGAAAACCACCAACTACTAATTACTAAAACGATTAAGCAGCAGAAAACAAGCCAAAGCTGCCTTATAATCGTCATAAGGATAACACTAGTAGTAAAAAGCTATGAGATTGGGACGAAATGAAAATAGAAAACCACAGAATGATATTATGTCCCATTGAATAAGCCCCGACATTTGAACAAAAAGCGGACAGACAGCGAAAAGCTTTAAAACAATTAATTATAAATTTATGGGATGATGTGAAGAGGGAAACCAGGAACCAGGAACCAAGAACCAAGAACCAAGGACCGAAATGCAGACATTTAAATAACTCGGCAAACAAAAGCCAACGGAAAAGGACGATGAACAAAAAGGAGTGAAAATGGATTTCATTTAAGGCGGCATGTTGAGCACATTGTTTTTATTAAGTGTCGCATGATATGTGCGATAAATATATATATATATATATATGTGTATATATATATTCCAATGCTAAGCCCGCAGTGCCACTCCATTCACATAAACACTTCAAGTGGCAACATGACGTGCAACTAATCCGTTGCCCTTGCCCAAAAAATATGTTACAAGTGGGCATGAGTGTCCGGAGGTCGAAAGTCCCGGATCCGTATTCGGATTCCGCTGGACATCTGGACAGTTGGACACTGTGGTTCAACCCCACCAGCAGCTAATTTGGTTTTCTAGAAATGTTATAATTATTTAACTAGGTGAAATACAGGGATTACTTTCGCTATGATAAGTAATTTACTATACTAAAAATTCAAAAATATGTCTGATAATCGGACATATTCTTACATATTATATATTTAAGATAAACAAAGTCTTACACAATGAGTGGTTGAATATTATCTATCTCACTTTAAATTGCCTAAAAACTGTTTTATAAAATGATTTATACGAATTTGAAATCATTTTCATATCTTTTTATATTTTTATGGAATACCTAAGTATACTAGACCCACTGTGCCAAAGGGGACATCATAAAAACAGCTGCCGACCCTGCACAAAGATGATGACTGGACTCCTGATGATGACGATGATGACCCCTTTGTTCCCCCCGGTCCGCCCTACTATACTACACTCTATATAATGCACGCTAAATACATAGTTTGAAAATAGTTTTGAACCCTTTCATCAGGCAGCCCCACAACTCGCAGGCAGCCGCAAACAAACAAAAAACCCATGGGAACTCGACTCGTGGCTTTAGCACCAGCATCCAAAAATTTGTGGAATGAGAATATAGAAGAGAATGCGGAAAAGCGGTAGGGAAAGCGAACTAGTGACACTGACAGCAGAGCATTGGCTGTCATTTTCCTTATTTTTCATCTGTTTGTTTTATTTCTGCCATATGACCTTTTTTTGTCACATTTAGCCCGAGTTACATTTTGTCAGTCCTTAACCAACTCATCAGGGTGGACCCAAAAACTGCACTGCACTGCTTTGTGCTGATAAATGAAAGGCGAACAGTTTCACCACCCCCCTCCCACCCCTGCATCAGCCCTGTCTCCCGGATTTTCCACAGGGTTTTCCTCGCTTTTTCCTTTCCAAAAACCCCCCCGTCGACTGACCACATCCACAGTCTGCGCTGCGTCTGAGTGAATGAGTCTGTGTGAATGGCTGCCGAAATGAATGTTGCAACTAAATGAATAAATGGAAATTAGTGCCAAAAAGGCAACGATGCGCACACAATGAACGGACAGCGGACAACGGACACAACACGACGGACAGATTTACGGACAGATCAGGACAGAGCTACGGACAAATTTTTGGAGGAGAATAGTTCTTAAAAATAAATCATCTGGTCGATGCATTTTTCATAGTCTATTTTGAAAGGTTTACTTTTGATTTCTAACTTGAAATTCATTTGTTTAACAAACTTTTTGCTTGATTAGTTTTTTTATAAGTAAAGTTTTTTGTTCTTTATTCGATTGGGACTAAAATGATATAGAAAATTAAAAGGCTTGAAAGTGCTGTTTAAATGTCAAAGCTATCATTTAAAGCCTCTGCCCTTCCAGAAAATAGTAGAAATATTATCGTATAATTTAAAAAGGGAGAGGAAAGCGGAGTGAAATTGGAGAAAGGGCAAAAAGGAGCAGGGCATTGAAGCGAACGCATATCTATCATTAATATCGCTGCAGTCAGCTGCTGTTGTGCTCAAAAAAAAAAAAAAAAAAAACTGCAAAAAAATGGAAAACAAAAGCTGAAACAAGCTGAATATTGAATACCCTATTCGATATTACGATATTATTAAAAAAATAGCATAAAATTATGATGAACTATGAATTTTCCAAGACATATTTAAACCAAATTGTAGAAATGAAAATATTACAATAAAAAACACAAAAACTGCTAATGCCTTTGAAAAATAGGTAAATGGAAAAATGGCTGAGGAGAAGAAGAATGCAGCTACACACACACATACATATATGAGCGGCCATGAATGCTAACACATACCACACACACACACACACACACACCATTTGTGAGGTTTTCTGGGCTGCATTCTCTGCATTTTCCGCAGCAGCAGCAGCGGCGGGAAAAGCTGTGGCAGCAACTGACTGCTGAACTACTGCCAACTGCAATTAATCATTTTTCTATCATTTTCAGATTTTTTACACACACACACACCCACATAGGACTTGGGTATATATAGGTATGTATAAGGTACATATATGCATGAGGGTAAGTTATGATTTTTTTACGAAGCTGTTCGACAATTTCGTTTTCCTGCATCTTTTTGGAAAATATTTCTTGAGCGGAAAGTTATGTTAATTTTGGTTTGGCGAGTCCAAAAGAAATAAATGTTATACCACATAGATGAAAATTTGTCGGCCTAACTGTTAAGATTTTGGCAAACATATAGACAACACAGTGTTGTGTGGACGTAAATATGTGCAGAGACATCTGTCTGCTATTAGCCGCCGTAAATTGCATCGTCGCCATCGGCCTAAGCGATTTCTAATGGCGGAGCACAGCGGGCGGCGACAAACACCTCCGCAATCTCCAACTGCTCAACATGAGGAGCTCCTTCACAAATTACACTGACAAAAGATATAATCTAAAAAACCTCGAAAACCTTAACAAAATTAAGTACTAACTTATTGAAATGAAACCGTAAAAGAAAGACTTCAGAATTAAATCGAAGTTCTTAATGAATAAAAATGGAAATTTAATTCTTCCTTATTCCTTGCCAATTTCAATCTCAGTGTTATATTGCAGATCCTTTGCGGCACACATATGTGCCCAGAACCATGCTGGACATACATATGTACATAGATTAGGTCAATTTGCTGGTAACTTTTGATGATGCCCCGGCAGAGGAGTCGCAAATCGCAGGCCAAGTTGCAGAAAGAAGAAGGGGAAACTTTCGGCCTGGTCACTCATTGATGCGGATACATCCGGTGGCCCCCAACTGTGGGGTTGGGCACAGTGGGTTCAGTTCAGTTCGGTTGGCTGGGGCGATACAGTGGGCGAAACCATGTAGGTGGTTCGAAGGGCATCGGACATCAACTGCTAACAAGTCAACAAGACCGGCTACTACGTTCAGTCGGGCATTCAGTCGCATTCCCAAGGGACATTTGGTCAGCTCGGTCAGGTTAAGTGTTTTATGAACTTGTTTCAATGGAGTCGAGTTGAGTCCTTACGTAAATGTGCGTGTATATATGTATGTGCAGGTGCCATGTGGTGACATGTGGCCAGCATGAGGAGCAAAAACAGGAGCAAATCCAAGTCCTAGTCGTCGTTGCCATTGAAGCTTTTAATTTGATTTTCGTTCAAGTGTCGTTTTCTGTGGTTCTCTATCTCTGCCTCTTTTCGCCAGCCACCTTCCATCTCTTTCGCCATTGGTGAGTTTGACCATGTTGATTGTAGCAAACTTGAGCCTTTGGACTCGCTCAAACATCTTCTCCTGCTACGATTGGGGATCCCCACTTTCTGGCCGGGATTTCACTTGGGTTCCTATTGCCGTTTCGGTTGAGGTCTTCGCCTCTGATTCTTCTAATGAGGCATTCCTTTTGCTCCACAAAATCCTCTAATTAAAGGCATTACATTGCCCTTCGGAGGTTTACATATTGCTATAGTTTTATTTAGATTCCTAATGATTAAAATGCTTACCTAAATAGATTGGTAGTTTAAAAAAGATAACAAAACTCTGTTCCATCTAACAAAAATGAAAAAGGTGAAAAACCCAACAACGTAGTTAGCAAAGTACCTGAGCAGTCAAGGAAGTGACATTATATAAACAAATTATGTAATTTGCAAATTGAAAAACCTTTGAATAAATAAAATTACCAAGACTTGTCCGTCCATTCAGTAAGGATTCAGTCGAGGATGCGAGTGCCACGCAATCGCCAAAGGGCTCTATTTTGGAGCCAACAAAAAAGACCTAAGCCACAGCCAAAGAATTACAGGATAACGCTAACCACCTGGCGGCGAATTTTGTCCAGAAATACAGATGAGTTCTGTCGCAACACCACAATTCATGGTTTGAAATACATTAACAACAGCAAAATGCGTAATAGTGATAGGTAAAAATCGTTCACGAAATATCGTAATAAATTAATATCATTAACTTCTTTCCATTTAAAGATTCTTTTTCGGTATAGCCCTGCTGACAGTGCTTGCAATTGCAATTTATCTAATACAGGACGCTTTCGATAAGTGGAACACCAATCCGGTTATAGTAGGCATCGATCCGGAATTAACTTCCATTGCCAACGAACCCTTTCCGGCAGTGACAATCTGCAATTTAAATCAGGCTTTAATCGAAAGGGTCAAAAACTTGGCCAATGATTCTATAGAATTTGCAATGCTGCAGTTGCTTTGTCGACGAAAAGTTGATATCGAAATAGTCAAGGGAAGTGGTTCCAATTGGGAGGAGCTTATACTGAATGTAAGTAATGTGTAAGGTTTATATAATAAATATACATTACTATACTATCAGATAAAAAGGAAACCTTTAATTTCCTTATATAACACTTTGATTTTATATACACAGATCTCACAGCCCTGCAAATCAATGGTGATTAACTGCCGATTTGGCGCCGATGATTACGAATGTGCAAGTTTATTTCACCCAATTGTGACCGATGAAGGTCTATGCTGTGTATTTAATATGCTACACCCCAGGTTTATGTATAGGAAAAGGTGGGAAAACCTATTTTCTATTTTATTTTCCATCAAAAACTTAATAAGCTTTTGGAAAAGCAATTTGCAAGCTCAGCTTTTGGTTTGAACCTTTTCTAAAAGTTAAAGAACTTTTTAGGGTCCTGCTTTTAGCCCAAAGGCAAAACAAAAGCTTCAAGTTTTATCGTAGACTCCAAAAATATTTAAAATTATAATTTTCCCCCAAAAGCGTTCCCTATTCACATCGTAATATAAGCCTACCTGTGGGCTTCCATGCAGTCAACTGGAACGCCGAGTTAGGATACCGGAAGCGAGGTTCCCAACCGGATGTCGATAATCCGCTGTATCCTCGACGATCCCAAGGAACAGGAGAGTCGCTAGGACTATCGCTAACTCTGGATGTCCAAGCAGATGACTACTACTGTTCGTCGTCGAGCAGCATTGGCTTCAAGATCGCCCTGCATAGCCCGAATGAGTCTCCGAATGTGCGGGAGACAGGAGTCCTTTTGGCACCCGGAATGGAGACCAAACTGCGAATAGATCCCGCGAAAATCTTGACGGAGAAGCATCTCCGCAATGTGGACCGCATGAGCAGGCGGTGTTTATTCCGCAATGAGCTAAAGTTGCGATGGTTTGCCCACTACACGCAAAGAAATTGCGTGGCTGAGTGCATGTCCGGGTGGCTGATACGGCACTGCGGCTGTGTTACCTTCTATATGCCCCGATTGAACAGCAACGATACCATATGCCCGCTGCACAAGAGAGAATGTGTGGAGCTAATTCGATTCAGGACTATTGTGGCGATGGAATCCTGTTTGGAGGAGTGCCTGCCATCGTGCTTTGATCTCTCCTTCAGTGCGATTGCCTATTCCACGAGAATCTCGCACGATGGATTCAGGGAGACTCCTTCGAATCGCGGTTGGAACTTCTCAGATGCCTATGTAGAGCGCAGCGTGGCCGTGGTGAATATGTATTTCAAGGATCCCACATTCAGGGCCAACAAACAAACGGAATTTATTGGATTCTCTGATTTTTTATGTAAGTCATATTTTACCTGATTAATGATCTTGAAAATAAATGATGAACACATACTATAATTGCAGCTTGTGTTGGCGGTCTGATGGGATTATTTCTCGGCTTTAGCTTTCTTTCCATCGCCGAGTGTATATACTTCGCCTTGATACGTCCCTGCCGTACTTGCTCAGAAATCCGCCAACTTAACCAGCCAAAGGAACAGCAAATTAACTTAAATATGAATTTGCCAGCAGGCAACATCAGATACATTTCACCAGCAAATTGGTTTCAAAACGAGTTGGCCCATCAGCTGCCTCATAACAGGCAGCACTTTAATCCTGCTTAAACTTAGCATAATAACACTTATCTAGATGAGTTCCCAGTACTTGGTCACGTAGTCGTTTTTGGGCAGAGCCAAATTGGCGGGACGTTCGTAGTTCAGGGCAAACTGCTTGGCCTTCGACTGCAATTCATCGTCGAAAATCTGAAGAAATAAAAATAAGTTAAATATATATAATAACAAAAATATTAATAATTCTTTTGCTTACATTGCACTCTTTTCTGTCCAAAAGAGGTGCCAAATCGAACTCCATGATGGGCAACGATGAGTTTATAAACCGAGCAGCATTTGCCACCTCTGGTACAACGTGTTTCTGCAACAGTGTTATCTCCCAAAGCGAACTGTTAATGGCATCTGATTTCACAGGATCCGTTTCCGTTTCGTTGTAAGGATCACTGATTTCATCGGCCGCGTTACTGCCGCGAATCAATTTTTGCAGACCCGTGTGTCTTAATAACAGATTACAAACGAAACGAATCATAATCACAGCATCTTCGGTGGGAGATTGAAGGGCCAAACGAGCGAGACGCTTCACAAACGCTGCCACCAGGTTCTCTGGCAAATGGGTGGAAGTCAGGAAGATATCGGCCAGATAAAAAAGGCGCGCCTTGTACTTATTGAAGAACATCCGGGGATAGAACATATTATACAGCTTCTCGTAAACATCTGGATAGGTGATGTTCTGCTTTTGCATTAGCGTGAAGATTCCCTGGAGAGCCAACAGAGCAATGGGTCCATCTTAAAGGTAGATAAATAGTTGTCAATGTAAATTTCCTTAGTTTTAACTAATGCAAATACCAACCAAACTGATGCAGTGAATCCATAAGAAAGTCAGTCAGCTGGATGGGATCTTCTAGGTGATTGATTACGCGCTCCAGAAGAACCATAAGTATCTGGCGATGCAGCTTCTCATCCACTTCGCTACCCTTAGACATTATAATCAGCCAGAGATTGCTCAGTCTCTTACCATTTTGCTCGAGGTTGAATTTTTGATTTTTTGCACTTTCCACATGGTAGTCTGCAGTGTTTAACACCGATTTTCCCATATCCAAAAGGTTCACAATGGACAGAAATGTCATCGCCTTAATGGGTATGTCCTTAAAGTTCTCCTTGGGCACTAAATCTGATAGCTTCTTAAGTGTAATCTCCAAAACATCTAGATTTTTGCAATATTTTCCATAGTTTGTTAATGAATTCGTTGGCGTCTCATCGGCATTCAAGAATGTTTCAAGTATTTGCTGTATTCTATGGGTGGGCCAACCTTTCTTGGGTCCAATTGGATGTTTGGCTTCCACTTTAATCAATTGCATGCACACTTTTAAAGCCACTGCACACTGGGAATCCTCTAGAAGATTCCCTATGAGCGACGACCAAGTTTTCTCGTATAATTGTATGATTTGTTGGCTCTGTTTTTCGTTGGCCTCTGCGGTCTGTCGTTTTAGCAAGTTCTTGAATATCACCTCAAGCGTATTCATCACTTCGCCAGCTGGCACTCGGGAATCGGATGAATCCTTCAAAAAGATTTGAATTTTAATATTTTGATTAATGTACAATTTTAATCACTTACCAGTAATTCAACAAAATTATTGAGCATCTTGGGGTTCACATTCTCGGCATTGAGCAGGGCATTGCCCATGAATTGTAGTTGCCTTTTGCTAACGAGCTGGTCCATGTTTTCATCCCTTTTCGGAGCCAAACGCTTCATTTTAAACAGATTAGATGTGGTTTAATACAATTTAATTAAAAAACTAAACAAAATAAACTAAAAACACGCGGCGTGCTCTTAGGAAGTTGCCTGATCACTGAAACCTCTATTTCAGAGCTGCCACCTTTTTTTCATGGCACTTTTGGTATTTTTGGTATTTATATTACGAGTTCTAAGGTCATACTGCTTGTATAGATATTTCGTTATGGATTTAAAACTACCACCACTAACGCGGCAAAGCGGAAATATTTAAAATATGTTGTTTACTTTCGTAAAGTTAGATTAATTGTTAATTTGCCTTTATAATTATTTGATAATTTCAAGAAAATAAAGGATTTAGTCAAACTTATATGTTTGGAATTATTATTATTTTCTCACTTTCATTCATATAGTAAAATCACTCAATTTGAGTTTTTACTTAAGCATTCGGCTTATTTTGAGTTCGGGTTTTCCGCTTTTTCGCTCAATTTTTGCTTTCGGCTGACAACCGAAGCCGCTTTGTTTACAAATATTTTTCGTTCCTTTGGGAATTTGCATGCGCGCCTGTTGCGTTCTTTTCGCTATCAATAAAAAAAATTAAAGGGAGGAGCGCCTTTTTATCAGGTACATTAAAAAAAATCAAAACTTCTTTCAATTTTTTAAAATGGTTACATGCTTAGTTCAGACAAATTTACTAATATATTATTTAATAGATTTCTATTTATACATATTTATTTAGTTTATAATAAACTTGAAAAACTTAACTTGGCAAATACTAATTTTCACATCCCATATATATTTTTTTAAAAAGGAACATTGAGAAGTAACTATATAATTTCGAAAAACAATCCAAGATAATAAGACTGACTTGATTTGGACGTTTTTAATTTCAGTGTCAGGAACGAACATTCCGTCATAGAAAATTCACTTTCAGATTATTTGAAACTAAAAGTCAAAACAGTTACAATTTTTCCGCCCACCAATATATATATAAAAAATTCTAACTAAAAATATAACGTCTACTCGAGTCAAGTAAGTTTTCGAGCTTAGAAAAAAATATACAGAAAAAATTAAAAAAAAGAAAATATTAATTTTACAATTTAAAAAAAAATTATAAAAATGTTTAAAGTATGTAAATATTTCAAATTGTAAAATTAAAAAGAATATTCAAATTATAAAACACATTCGAATGTTTCCTTAATATTTTGAGTGCTTTTCGCAAGCGGCAAAGCACTCGGATCCTTCGGCTCGTCCTTCGTTCTGTGTTTTGGTTTTGCGCCCACTTGCGACTGTTTCGCTTTGGATGGCGCGTAGTTCGCTGGCGAATGTCCTGACCGACGGTTGTGTAGCGGACTAAGAAACCTAAGGACCAAAGGGACCCTACGGCATCGGTATAAAGAAACCCGTTCAAACCGCAATTCTCAGTTCAAAACTGTTATTCTCTAAAAAAAAAAAAGTGTCTAAGCAGTTAACAATTTTTCTTAATTTTTTTGAATGTGCCATAAAAAAAAAAACAACTATTTAACCCCAAACAATAAACCAAATACGAAGGGGCAAAACAAATTTCTTAATCAGTACTAAAGTGAAACCGGTTTTAAAAGTTTTCCCAAGTGTTTTTCGGTTTTTCCTTTATTTTTTTTTTAGTTTTCCACTGTCCAACGACTTTAAGGAATCCAAACAGGTGAGTGGCAACTTCTGGTAACGGAAATTGAGTCAAGAAGCCGGTAATTGAATTAAAACCAGACTCGAAAATAAGATTTTTCGCTTACAAGAAACGTTTAATTGGGCCTGAGTTTTCGCACTTTTCTCGCTTTTCCTTCTAATGAACTCTCACATCCGCTTTCGGTTTAAGTTCGGTGGTCAAGCTCCTTTTATTCCCCATTTGATTGATGAGACTTAAAAGGGATTCTCAATGTAAATAGGATAAAAAAAAAAAACTGAAAATCATACGGGGACAGGTGAGAATGACATAAAAGATTCACAGGAATTCCCAGGAAGACAATCTTTGAGATTGCTGATGACGGGGAAACTGTTTCTTATAGTGGAAGTAGTATGAAAAATAAAAAAGTAGTGCTCGGTGAAATATAAATAAAAAAAAAACGCTAATGTGAAATTTGAAATTTTGATTATACTAAATAAAATATGGCTTAAATTTCTTTAAAATATTTTATAAGAAATTTTAAAAAGAAATCTTAAGCTAATTTCATTCATAAAAATGAATATCTAAAAGAAGTAACAAAATTGTGATTAAAAAATGTCTAATTTATGCACACGCTGAAAGTGTTTTACAAAATAAATTGATAATAAGAAAAACAACAACAATGCATTTAATAAAACACTAAATGAGATTAAGAGTGTGTAAAAAAAGGAACAATTGTTAAGTGCTAAAATACCCATTTAATTCCAGATAATGAAATGGACATGTAAATTCAGCTTTATTAGCTTGAAAACTTGAAAGTGCATACTAATGACTTTCCCAACGGAGTTAATCCAATTGTTTTATCGTGACAATATTGCACTGGCCACTTAACCTCCGCGAATTAAATATCCCTTTGTTGAGGGTGCGGTCAGTGCATCCGCTTAATCCGAAACCAAATCCAAATCAAAATCAAAAATCGAGAAAGTGATATCTGGCTTTAACACGCGATGCCACGACACATGCGACATGCATTTAATTTCAATTTCAACTAGCCGCCCAATTTACACATTTAATGTGTGTAATTTGCAGCTAAATTTAATTGGCCTAATTAGGTGCGACATGGCCGTGGATTGTGGGTGGTACAAGGGTTGGAAGGTGTAGGTGTTGAATGCATGGACGGTTTGAGTTTGCCATTAAGTGTTTGACTAAGGACCCAACTCAAAGCAAACGCCAGTCGCGTCAATTCAGGCGAAATCAACTGAAATAATTGCGCCCTTCAATTGTCAAATTGCGTTGGTTTTGACCTTAAGCATTTGGCTTAATTGCAACTGCCTGAAGTGGATGCAAAATCTTGGAAAATTTCTATTAAAACTAAGAAGAAGATCTACATTACAATATATATATTTTTAACCCTTTTAAAATGCTTTCAAGAAATTACTTACAACAACTGGAATGCTTTTGTAATTACCAATTCAAAGTTTGTAAATTTAAAAAAAATCTATTAAATATTTCAAAAAATATATATATTTAAAAATGAAGAAAACTATCAAACTCTATTGATAAGGTTTAATTTAAAGACTTCTTTTTGCCACTCAAAAAACCTTGGAAACCATGACAAAATAAAAAATTCTGAAAAAATCCTAGAGGCCTAGAGGGAGAGATTTCACTGGCTGTGGATTCCTTTTAAAGGGCAAAAAAGAATGGTGCAAAAAAGTTTTCCATAATATTTTAACAAGAATTTAACGCTGCAGGCAAGGACAAGGCACACAAGTCCTGAAGTCCTGCAGAAACCCCCTGCCCGACAGTATCCCTGCCTCCTCGCACCCAGCAAACATTGTCCAAGAGACCAAGATGTGGCATTAAAAATGAAAAAGCAACTCAAAATTCTCTGTCTCGCAAATGGGAACGCAGCAGTAAAAATACCAAAACGCATAGTCATAAGGGGAGTGTGGGACAGCAAATGCTAGGAAAAGGCGGTGGAAAACCGGAGGATAGCTGGGTAATATCTAACTGAAACCTTTGGATATTTTTTCATTTTTTTTTTTTTTTTTTCCTGTCCTACGTTCTAGATACTGGGTGCTGGGATCCACCAGGCCGCCTCGGCTCATCTGAGGCATGCAAAATGAACCATAAAGTGCAGTCAGTCAAGTTGTTTTGAAGCCCCTTTCCGTTACAGCAAACCCCCCCTGTTCATCCTCCCACACACATTTATGCTCCGCCCCTGTACTGATAAGCACTTGACTCGAAGGCTTTGACCACATTTTTGCCCCTTTTTCCATCCCCTTCCCAATCCTCAAACGCGTTTATAAAGCTGAAGAGCCCGGCGTCGGGTTCATAAAGTCGGACTCATATCTATCTGTTCAGAAAAAGGGAATCACAAATGTCCTCTCTCTCTCTCTGTGGGAAAATATTTCGAAATTATGTTTCATTTAAGGTGCAATTTTCCAAGATAGAAGCAGCAGATACATTTTTAACCTTCTGTAGAGGAAAACTCTTAAATTTGAAACCTAAAGCAGCATGGTTTTTCAGGTCAATATATTTCTTTAAAAAATTTTAAGAACATATTTGTAGAATCTCAATTTTGAAACCAAATCCATGGTGAAACCTACTAGAATTGTCCTTTTTGTACAATTGGCAGTAACCACTTGCTAGAGTGTTATAAGGATATTTTATTTATTGTGGAACTCGGATAAGAAGCTGTATATTTAACATGAGTAACTTATAAGTTTATATGTTTAATAAGGCTGCGCCCGACAATATGTGGTGACGTCTTCAAAAGCAGATACAAGAAGAAAGAATACATAAGAAAAATATCGCATAAAGCAATAAAAGGGTAGCTTAAGAGTGACCAAAGTTTGTATATCGATTGTTGCCCGACAAATCATATTTCAACACTCCTTCTCAACAATCATATACTTTATACATATTAATAACAATTCATTTCATTAATACATTTTACATAGTTTGTTCTTTTGCAAGTTTTTAGTTAACACATCTGAGACCATATCATTAGTACTTATATACTTAACATCTATTTCATTTTTAGTATATAACTCTCGTACATGATTGAAACCTTAATATCCAATATGTTTACTGCGTTTATGCAAGAATCGGATTCTTAGCTAAAGTATTGTTGCGCTTTGATTATCGTAATACAACAAAACGGACTTGGTTTCTAAGAAACCCATTTCATACAATAGTTTCTTCAGATATATCGCCTCTCTAGCTGCTGTGGATAAGGCAATGTACTCGGCTTCGGTGCTGCTAGTGCCACCGAACTTTGCTTTTTGATTCCCACGAAATTGCCCCGCCAACAGCAATGAAGACGTACCCGCTATACGATTTGCGATCTGTAGTATCGTTAGCCCAGTCAGCGTCCACGTATCCATGTATCTCCTTTCCAGTAGCCTGATAGTGAAGCTTCATGTTAGCCATGCCTTTAAGATATCTCAGCACGCGCTTTGCCGAAACTTCATGCTCCTTTGAGGATTGGCGTTGCGCTGCGCCAGTTTCACTACCGAGTGTAGTATGTCTGGCCTAGTTGTTATAGCCAAATACATCAGGGTGCCTATTAACGATTGATAGCCTTTCTCGTCAATGGCCTTGCATTTGGCGTCATCACATTTGACTTGATGACCCGCCTCCAGTGGTGTAGCTACAGGTTTGCATGTTGACATGCCCCAGGCATGAAGCATCTGCTCGACATACTGCTTATGGCCGATAGCTATGCTGCCAGTTTCGCCATCGCGCTCAACTTCGATGCCCAAAAAGTGATTGAGCTGGCCGCCATCCACAACATCAAACTTATTAGCGATTGATGCTTTGATGCCCAAAAGTTCATCTTTATTTGAGCTGGCAAGTAAAAGATCGTCAACATAAACTGCTATTATATTTATACTACCTTGTCCATTGCGTACATATACGCACGGCTCGCTGACACACGGTGTAAAACCAAGTTTTTCAATACTGCGTCGAGCTTAGTATTCCATTCTCTGCCGCTTTGTTTAAGCCCGTACAGAGACTTCTTTAGCTTTAGGACCTTCTCGGGAAACTCTTCGCTTACGAACCCATCTGGTTGCCGCATGTACACGTCCTCCGATAGCTCGCTGTTCAAGTAAGCAGTAGATACGTCCATCTGATGCAAATGCAGCTTCTTCTCAACCGCCAATGCCATGATCATTCTAACGGACGGGTATCTGACCACAGGTGAGAATGTTTCCCAGAAGTCAACACCATAGCGCTGAGCACATCCTTTGGCAACTAGTCTTGACTTAAAGCGCTCTACATAGCCTTCCTTGTCAACCTTTACGCCAAATACCCACTTGCAGCCTATAGCCCTTTTATCTTGTGGCAGATCCACTAGATCCCACGTGTTATTGGCCTCTAGCGCATCCATCTCCTTCTGAATCGATGCTGACCATTCCTGCTTCATTCCTGACTGATTAACCTCACCCAAATTTGCTGGAATGTGTATATCCTCTGCCTTCAGCATATTCAGACAGTTGTATTGCTTACGTGGTCGCCCCGGCTTGCCAGTTTTAACGAGTCTTGGACGCCCTGGTCCACGGGTTTCAGATACAGCAGGCTGCTCTGCCTCATCGCTGATAGCACTCTCGTATTCATCACTGTTCTGATCACTCCTGTGTCCAAGTCATCCTCTCCGACGTCCAAATCATCCTCTGCCTGAAGCTGCTCATCATTGTTGTCTTGTGCCTGCTGATTATCTGCTACAAAATCATCAAACAATGCCATTTCCATTTTATCGCTTGGAGATCCACCTACATTATTTTCCAGGAAAATAACATCTCTGCTTTCAATAACTTTCCTTGATTTAGGACAAAACAAACGATATGCTTTTGCCGTTGCTGAATAGCCAATCATAACGTATTCATTACCTTTTTGGCTAAACTTCTTTTTATGGGCTTTATTCAATACGATTGCCTTTGAGCCAAAAACCTTGAGGTGCGACACATACGGTTTCTTGCCAACCCACGCCTCATATGGTGTCATGTTGCACAACGCTTTTGTTTCTGACCTATTGC